TCAAAATAACAATACAAATTTATGGCTAAGAGAGGATGACTCATGCATATAGTTAACAGTAATTGCAGTAAAGATATATTCATATATAATCTAAATACCATAAATTTAAGTAAAACTTTTGGCAATTATAACTACAGGAAAATCACTTATTATCGGCGGCTTGTTCCGGCGGTTATCATAAGATTTCCGGCGGCTTTGCGGCGATTTAAAATCCGCCGGTAAAATCCGCGTAGGAAATCGTTTCTGGCGGTTTTACACATCGGTGGTTTACCGGCAGCTAGTGCCGCCGGTAGTTTTCCTTCATATATTTCAATGATCCCACCAACCTTATTTTATATGCTACAAATTTATTTGCATCAATAGTTTTCTTTTCATTTTACTAGGATCCCGGGTTGCCATGTGATATTCTTTTCAGATGTTTTCATTTCTTTATAAGTAACATCTCGTTGTTGAAATAGATTAATCAAAATTTTCGTCGCAAATACGTCTGATATTTTCAACAAACATTATTCCACTGTAAAGTCCGCCGCAAATTAACCGCAAAATACTAACTTTTCTATAGTAAATTTTTTAAAAAGATGTTACATCTATATAATTACAAAATTTATTCTTTTTTGAATAGTGACATTTGTATCTTTATTAGTTTGGAGAATAAACAATAAAGATGCATCTAATGGCTTCTGTGATATGAACAAATGCTAAACACATGAAAAATTAAGAAGAATGGTGGAGATAAGGCCCTAACAATTTCCAAAATATGTTTATTTTCCTTTCAACAATTTCATTTTCTTGAAGAGTAAATATACAAGAACTTTGATGTACAATCTTTTATTGAAGAAGATTATCACAACTAATTGAATGGAGATATTCCTTCCAATTGTTAGCTATCAGCATTTGATTTTTGGTTTCGAATTGAGTTCATATATATATAATTGATTTTTTTTTAATAATGTGACATTGTGACGCGTCAAATTTATTTTTTATTAAGAAATTTTGCATAGATCTTGTGTATCATTCATAACAATATGACCATCTAGACCCAAAATATTATTCACATAAGAGGGAAAAATTATTCTGTGCAGACGTCGAACGCAGTCCAGAGACCAACCAGAATGCATCACGTCACCACTTCGTTTGGTACCGCATGGCTCGGTACTGATGCTGTGGCTGCAGCTGATTTGCCTTCGGATGTAGAGCTGAGTCTGACGTCCGCACAGAATAATTGTGGAGAGACCCAAATGTCACTATGAATGATTAAAAAAGGTTGAGAATGGAAGTTCCAATATGGTTTTTTTTTTTTGTGTATCCAGATTTTCAGTATTGATCACACTAATTAAGGCCTTTTTTTCTTTTTTGTGAACATTTTCTTAGATGCAAACATACTGTGGGATATAAGTTTGGATTTTTTCCTGCGTTGAATTAATTTTTTTTTTAATTGCCTAATCACCAAAAGCATACATACAAGAATCTATACCATGAATTAAATTTTTTTTTTACAAAACAGTGAAGAAGAAGACTCGGATAGCACTCATAGCAGGACCGGATATACAAAAAAGTGACATTACATAAAATATACCATTCATCTGACATTTCAAATCAGAGAAAATAGAAACCCCTAAATGCATAAAAAAGCATACATACAAGAAATCTATACAGATTAAAGACTTCAGATTCTGAAACAAACCAGGATGTTCGGCGGTCGGCTTGTGGTTTCACGAACGAGTACGCCTGTAGGAGGAGATGGGGTTGGCTTCTTGCTTCGCGAACGAGAAGATTGGAGACGGTGAGTCGAGAGCTTCGAATGAGAATTTTTTTTTTCCTCTGTTGCTCGAAGCCGAAGAGTCAAGAGCGGGCGTCCGATGCGAATGAGGGTTTTTTTTTTTCCTCTCTGTCGTATAAGCTTTCCCTCCTCAAATCTCTGTCGTTGGATCTAGCTAATCAACGAGGTATCTAAACCTGCCGGTTATCAGAAATCGGAACCGGTTCGGCGGTCGGACCACTGGTTCTAGCGGGTTTATCCCGGTTTTCAGCGAACCAGGTTCTCATTTAAACCATAACCGGCCGGCCGGTTCGCAGTTCAACCGGTTGAACCGGCTGGTTCTGTCCAATTTTAAAAGCCTTGTAATTAAGTACCCAAAGTTTCAAAATCTAATTTTTTTGCTGAAACTATTGAGAAATTAAGTAAATATCTCACATTTTTAAGAATAATTCTTTCATGAATTAACTAATAATTAATAATAATAGTTGTCCACACTTGAAGGGAGGATAGTAGATAAATTATTAATAAATCTTTGAAAGCTTACATAGCAGCAGCCAAGTTTCAGCTACAGAAGCTCCATGACTTGATCCCTATTCCTGATAGAGAAGGAACAGATTTAGATGGAAAGGAAAGCTGTAGACGCCATTATCGAGCAGTTCCGAACAGCAGGGAAGATGTCAGTGGTGCTGTTCGAACGGCTTCATTGGTTAATCCTAGGTACTATGCAGATCCATCATAACTGAGAAGTTCACTGTGTATGTTCTTATTCTTATTCTTATTCATTCATAGTATATGATGTCATGGCCATTGTACAAAATTATTATTGCACAGTCGACCATATTCCGATCATCTTTTATTTACAGTTTTTATTTTCTGATTTTTCAATTTATATCCTTTTGATGGAGTTTTAAGCTTTTATTATGAATGCATGATCAAATCATAACAATATATTTGTTGCATCCTAGAGTATTCGCGACGGTAGAGAAATATAAAGTTTAACGTCTTAACTTTGTACGAAGATCCAACACACACAGATAAAAAGAGAGGGTGCGTCATTCACTAGTATTTATGAGAGTCACCAGGATTTTTACGTGGAAAACCCCACAAGGGGAAAAAACCACGGGGCCAAGCCTAATTTGAATGAATACACTAGTATTGTAGTTGATTACAAATGAGACCCTTCCTTTGGGGAAAGCCTTAGCTTGATGTACAGCTTATAGAGTACATTACATGACGTGAATACAAAGTATCGTTGTTGATGTGTTTGTTTGGTCAGAAGGACCGTAAGTTAGAAGGACCGTAGTCGGCGAGCGACGGTGGTCGGGAAGACTGTAGTCGGCAGGCGACGTAAGTCAGAAGAACAGTAGTCGACGGGCGATGAAGGTGAGAAGGAAAGTAGTCGGTGGACGATGTAAGTCAGAAGGGTCGTAGTCGGTAGGTGACAGAGGTCAAAAGGATTGTAGTCGGTGGGAGACGGTGGTCAGAAGGACTGTAGTCAGTGGGCGACGTAAGTCGAAAGGACCGTTGTTTGAAGACGGAGATCAGAAGGTCGGCGTCAGGTAGAAGTCCAGCTATGGATAGAAATCTCACATTGGATAGTTATTCGACATAAGTCTGATAATGGGCAGAAGTCCGGTGTTAGGTAGAAATCTGGCGACAAGCGGAAGTCCGTCGTTGGGTAGAAGTCTGAATTCAATCGGCGGTCGGGGAGAACTCTAGCGTTATATGGTATTTGGGCGAAACTCAAGCGTCACTTGGAGTTCGAGTGAAACTCCGATGTCACTTGGAGGTCGGGCGGAATTCCGACGTCATTTGGAAGTCGGGCAGAATTCCCGTGTTACTTAAAAAGTTGGGCGGAACTCTGGCGTCATTTTGGAAGTCGGGCAGAATTCCAACGTCCCGTGAAAGTCGAACAGAATTTCAACGTCCCGTGGAAGTCGGGCAGAATTCCGGCGATGGTCGAGGAGGAGTTTCTTCCCTCCTATCCTTCTTCTCTTCTCTTCGATCTCCTTCTCTTCTTGTTTTGTGTCCCCTCTCAAGAGAAATGAGGGGTATATTTATAGATTTCTGGAGTGGCATGGCCCGTAAATAGGTGAGAGATCATGGGTAAATGTGGAGTGGTTGGATGGACGGCCGATATTGAATCCCTTGATCGTGTACCGTTCATAAGACATTTGAAGGTCTTAATGATGTCGGAATTTGACGATATTGGACTTGTTGGATTCGTCTCATCGAGCCGCTCGATTTGACTATAAGCACATCATGTTTGAAAACCGTTTGGTAACTCAAATTGTGGTTTGAACCTTCCAATAGCGCTTCGGGTCCTTGATTTGGACTCATTTGGGCTCAGATTGAGTCGAATTTGGTGTCATTGGGTTCGCATATTTGAGATGCTCAGTTCAACTATAAGTTTGCTGAAATCAAAGTTCAGATAATCCCATATTTAATTTTCGAAGTTTCCGACTTTATTTTGCCTCGAGATTCGTGCTCGATCAAGATAATTTTTTGATGATATATCAATACTATTTTTATTTTCTATTATAATTATTTGGCAATCAATTTCTTATAATTTTATCTCATAACAACCTTAATATAAAATCGCAATACAGTTTTCGTGTTGCTTTCTAAAACAATTTTTTAGTGCAATTTTTTTTTGAATTTTATACTAAAAAACTGTTTTAGAAAGCAAGAAAAAAACTATCCCAAACAAAGCCTGAGGGTCTATTTAAAAATAGCTTTAAAAATAGCTTTCTCACAGCTTTATTTTTCATATCATAACTATAATTCCATTTTAATGTGAAGCTGCTTTTAACAATAATAGTTGCTCATGTGTGATAAATTTAAAAAAAATAATTACCTAACTTAAAAAAAAAAAGACCATATATAGAATATTCACAACAACTTAAAAAAAAATATTTTTTCAACAATAATTTTACAACCAACTTTATAAAATATTAGAACTATTTCAAATAGACAGTTAGTTACAAATATCCTCTTTTGCTGCCGAGCGCATAAAATCATACAAGTTAACTGAGATAATTATAATTTTATTGCATGGTGCTCCTGATGCAATTTTTTGTTTTAATCATCTAATCTTAATTCTTTTAAGATATATGATTAACTATTTTTTCCTTATTTTGTATGAGAGAATCAACTTCTAATAATTCTGATTAACAATCATTTTTTAAACTAATCCCAATTTATTTATCTACTAAACAATATCTTCATTACACTAACTTCCTCATTAATAAAAAACATCTCATTTATCATTTGCTCATTAAGATATATACAACTGTCATGAAATATTGCAATATTGAGGGGAAAAAAAAAAACAAGAGAAGGATTCCTAAACAGAAATTAAGCATATATAATTTATCTTGGAATTACGATAATATATATGCAAGAGATCATCTGCAGCTTTTATTTGTATAGATCATCATCATCATCATCTGCAGCTGTTGATGTTGCAAATGGATCTGTAGCAGCAGCTGTGGTTCCAGCCTCAGACTGCTGAGGGAAGCGAAACTCGCTACCGAAACCCCTCGATTGCTGCAAAGTCTGTGCAAAAGCCTGGTACTTGCGAATATCGGCATCACTGACGCTCCTTCGAGCAAACTTCATTGATTCCTCAAAATGGGCTGCTTTGATCTCTGCAACTTCATCTACAGCATCTTCCTCCATTGCCTCAGGGTTCTCTCGTGGTTTCCTCTCCCTTTCAATATCCTGTGACATAAAATGACAGAATGAATAAGCATAATTTAAGGTTTATGAACACTAAAGTGCTACTGTCAAATATCAAGAGGTTTTCGTGATTATAGGAAAAACAAGCCAACTACTTGACAAGCTGAATATAAATATCCATCAAAGTAAAAAAAAGTCCAAAAGTTTATGACAAGTGTAAAGTGTCATATAAAGTACAACCCAGTATCTACAAAAAAGTAATGGTGGTCAGGCCCCACCGACAACAACATGTATTCTAATCCTATTGAATGACGAAAGTTTTAAAAACAAGACATTTAATCTCGATCTTCGTCTTAAGTCCTTCTACGGATCATCTTCCTTCAGTCTTTTTATGGTTCGTCCTTCAGAAGGCTATCCAAAAAGAAACTTTCAAAAAATGGAGTGCGATTAGACTTGAACTCTAGAAGGATTTCCATGGATGTCTTCCATTCGCATTAAGCCCAACTCAAGGGGATATTGTAATGAACAGCAAGCCATGACATGTGAAACATGCAGGAAGACAAATTCTACAGCTATGGTTCAAAAATTAAAGGAAAAAAACAGAACCAAGTGGAGTTAAATAAAGAACCTTTTCAATGTTTTCTCTGATGGCATACTTGCAGGCTCTCTGGCAGATTTCTGTTATATCAGCTCCACTGAAACCCTGAGTGTACTTGGCTAGAGCCATCAAGTCGACATCTTTTGCAACAGGAGACTTCCTAAGACAAGCTTTGAATATTTGGTGACGAGAAGCTTCATCAGGCAAAGGAATATAAATTAATTGGTCGAGCCGGCCGGGACGAAGCAAAGCTGGATCTATGATGTCAGGTCTGTTTGTTGCACCAATAATAAAAACAGTTTTTCTGGCAGACATGCCATCCATCTCTGTCAAGAGCTGGTTGAGAACTCTATCAGCTGCACCTCCTGCGTCTCCAACACTGCTGCCTCTCTGGAATGTAATAAAATAGAAGATAAGTGAGTTAAGAGAGCAAGCTCAAGATAAGAAGAGAAGAAAAATAATAATCAGGTAACAAACCTGTGTAGCAATTGAATCAAGCTCATCAAAGAAGAGGACGCAGGGGGCAGATTGGCGAGCCTTATCGAATATTTCTCTCACATTTGCTTCACTTTCACCAAACCACATAGTGAGCAATTCTGGGCCTTTAATACTGATGAAATTAGCTTGACATTCATTAGCAATTGCCTTTGCCAACAAAGTCTTCCCACAACCAGGAGGTCCATAGAACAATACACCCTTTGAAGGAGACATTCCGAATTTTTCAAACTTCTCAGGATGCTCCACAGGATATTGTACAGTCTTCAGTAAATAACAGAATGAGTAAGTGAAATAATCCTATATTAAGTTAAATAAAAAGTAAAATAGAAGAGAAAAAGATATATTTACCTCTTGCAATTCCCTCTTTACAGTTGTAAGACCACCAATATCATCCCAGCTGACATTAGGCACTTCAACCACCTGCACAATAGATAAAGCCACGGGTGCATCAAAGTTTATGCCAATTTTTTGTATATTTTGCATTAATTTATGAATAAGTAATCAAGAATAAATATGACAAAATTTACACTTACTGTTTCCCGAAGTGCTGACGGATTGCTTGTTCCAAGAGCAGTCTTGAAATGTTCATTTGTAACTGCCATGGAGTTCAAAATCTCAGCATCAATTGTTTCATCTTCTAAGTCAATAATATCCATTTTTTCGCGAATACATTGAAGGGCAGCTTCAGTGCAAAGAGCAGCAAGATCAGCTCCAACGTAACCATGAGTGTCTTTAGAAACTCTTTCCAAGTCAACCTGCAGTGAATGATATTAATTTTACTTTCAAAATTTTCAGAAAACAAAAAAAGAACGAGGAAAAACAATAAAGCTGTTAATTTGCAGATCATACATCTTCAGCTAGCTTCATGTTCTTTGTATGAATGCGGAGAACCTCAAGACGTCCAACCTCATCAGGCACACCAATATCGATTTCCCTATCAAACCTTCCAAACCTTCTGAGAGCTGGGTCAATGCTATTTGGTCTATTTGTTGCTCCTATAACTATCACATGAGCTCGAGCTTTCAAACCATCCATGAGAGTCAAAAGTTGAGAAACAATGCGTCTTTCAACTTCACCATGAGTTTTCTCGCGTTTTGGTGCAATGGAGTCAATCTCATCAATGAAGATAATGGAAGGAGCGTTCTTCTCAGCTTCTTCAAAAGCTTTCCTAAGGTTGCTCTCACTTTCTCCGGCTAACTTTGACATGATCTCTGGGCCATTTATGCAAAAGAAAAAAGCTCCCGTCTCATTTGCAACAGCCCTTGCTATGAGTGTTTTCCCAGATCCAGGAGGTCCAAAAAGTAAAATCCCTTTTGGAGGCTTCACACCAATGGATTTGAAAAGTTGAGGATGCCTGAGTGGAAGCTCAACTAGCTCCCTAATCTGAGCCATCTGCTTTCTCACCCCTCCGACATCATCATAACCAACTTCATCTAGCCTATTCTCATCCTCTCTCTTTATAGGTTCACCTTCACAGTAGATCTCTGTGTCTGGAGCTACAACACAGTATTCTGCTGGATCAATCTCTATAACCTTGAATTCAACGCTTCTCATGCCTCCTCTAACAAGAAATAGATCTCCTTTTCTTACAGGACGATACGCGTCCATGAAATATGCTGCAAAAAAAGAGAAACATGATAGAATGTAATAGGAATTTGGAAAAACAATTTTGGATATTTACCAAATATCAGCATTTTGAACTAAAAGTAAGTCAATTGACATAGAAGATATAGAATACATCAAAACAACAAAGAAAAAGTATGCATTTATAGATTACTCAAAGCATCAGGTTCAATGTAACTTATAGTAACTCCAATTGCATATGAAATACAGAAATTTGATAATAAAGAGAAGTTGAGGAGAACCTATCATCCTCAATGATTATTCCAAAACCATGATGATTCGCTGACCCACCTACTACCACATAGATTCTCTCAACCGTGCTTCATTAATAGTTCTATGAGATCTTGGAAGTATAATACCTTCAAGCATTCAATATAAATTGATATATTACATGATAAGTTCAATGGCGACCAAAAAACATAAATTGTTTGAGTGAATTTACAACTAAATGCTATTAATAGAAGTAAAAGACGAGCATCACAAAATTATACATGATTATATTTCACAAAATCTACTCAAATGTTAAAGGGGTGGGGACTTGGGTGCAAGGTAGCTGGTCCTCAATAAGCATCATTAGTTAGAGCAGTATTCCTAATGATTAACTTGACAATGTTAAGTTACGCATGTTTTTATTTCTAGAAAAGATACAATTAGTTCCGTTTTTACAGGAAAATAAATATTATTAATAATTTATCACAAATTTATCAAAGCTAATTTATTTAAGAAAATTCAAAACCCCCACCTCTACTAAGTTCAAAACAAATTTAGCCAATTACTGTGAGCTTCGTACCCCCAACTTAAAATTAAAGTTATTTTAACAAAAGCTATCATTTTTTGTTAATTGAATGAGTTTTGGAGAAACAGAAAATGAATAATCAGTTTAAGGAGATTGAAAACCCTTACCTCTACTATAGAAGGGGGAAAATTTAACCAATTACTCTTACCCAAGCTAAAATTAAAGTCCCAAACAAATAGATACCTCAAAAATATAGAATGCCTGACACGTAAATGTTGAAGGTTTATGAAAGACTTACGCTTCAAATAAGCATCAAACAAGTTCCCTGTAACACCTTCAATGGAATCATCAATAGGCAAGATATGAACACGATTTCCATATTTGACATCCGGGCATTGATGAACAGAAACCACATCGCCAAGCTTCACCCTAAGGTTGGACCTCACAACCTTATTCATTCTAATCTTAGGCTCTTCACAAGTATCATCAGCAAGTGCAATGCAAATTGTATCTCTTCGCTTTTTCCCCTGAAATACAAACAAACAGAAGTTCAATAGTTAATAAAATGGAGATATATAAGCTCAAATTGTCAAAAATTCATCTTAATTTCCGCTTTGAATACGTAAAAGATGTATCCAACAGATGGATTCTCATATGTTGTAAGAAAATTCCAGCGAAATTTAATTCAGCAATGAGACTATAAAATCTGTCAGAAATATACTCTCTCCCTCTCTGTGTTAACATAGTAGACCATGCTGCATATACGATTCAAATCAACAATGAATTAGAAACCCTACCACATCAAATATCCAACCAAGAAAACAAAATCAAAATATAAACCCTAGAGACTACAAAAACCGTATAACAAGACCTAAGACGCGGAGAATAACAAAGAAAATTTAAAAAAAATGCAATAAAAAAAAAAAGGAACTAGATGAAAAATAGTTACTTTCAATAGGATGGTATCCCCTCTAAACATCTGCAGCTTTTCCATCGTCAGCGGATGCAGGGAGACAACGGAATTATCATCATTAACAGTCTCGTCAACGATCAGACGATTCGGGGCCTTTTTCTTTTCGAGGATTGCAGTGCTGTAATCCCTCTTAGTACCTCTACTGCAATTTCACCCAACAACACACATTAGCAGGCATAAAAATTCCCAAAGATCGTCGATTTCCATACAGAAAAATAGTCGGCGAAGCAAAAAACATCAAGAAAAGAGATCTCAATCTAACGAGATCGATACACATATCTAAAAAGCAAACAAAAAACAAAAAAACTTACGGTTCGGATCCCTTATTTTCCATCAGATCATCAAGAGATCTCAGATTGGGGAACACAGAGGGTGTACTCTGAAGAGTGAAGCACGGCGAGAACTCGGCAGAGGTAAACGAACGATAGAGCTGGAAAAAGACGGGAAGACGATTAAGGTATTTATAGGGGCAAAAAGGTCGACTATTACAATGTTATATATTTCTATAATATTTAATAATATAAAAATCATTAGATCTATACATACTTTCCTTAAAAGCAGTTTCTTAATTTAACCCGCGTTAAGTTGTTCCTGCGGTTGAGTGCCTCCCGCGCGGTCCTGCGCTCAACCTTCTCAGGCAATAATAATAATAATAATAATAATAATAATAATAAATAAATAAATAAATCTTTGTCTTTCGTAAAAAATTCATGATGACTATCTTATTAATACTGAGTCAACTCTACCCTTATTAAGAAATTTTGGATATTTTGTTGCATAGTGAGCAAGATTTTGTTTAGAATAAGATTTTTTATCATTTTATTTTTCTAACTTTGACAATAAATATTTTTTTTATTAAAAAATTAATTTATCGTGCCACTTTTAAAAAAGATATTTTTTCACAACAACTTAAATGAATAGGTGGAACCGTCCCAAATTGGCAAAATTATTACGTGTAGTCATCGGACACCGTCTGGAGGCAAATCAGGACCAAGTGTTCAGATCCAACCCAGAACTGACCTGGAACTGTTCGACTCAACCCGAACTCGACTCATTTTGCAAACGGGTTGGTTATTTGGACTCGAACCCGACCCGCATAGTGTCGGGAAGGTAATTTCTCTGTTTCGTGCACTATATGTGAAGGTAACTTTCTCCATTTCGTACTCTTCGTAGTTGTTTGACTTCGTTCCTTGGACGTTGCTCCCTTCCAATCGGATCGGAAGTTACAAAATTTTGATCGGAAGCAACGACAGGAGTTCGCTCGCTATCTGTAAAGGTAACTTTCTCCCTTTCATCGCTCTTTGTAGATGTTCAACTTCTCTCCTTGGACGACGTTCCCTTCCAATCGAATTAGAACTTACAACATTTTGATCGGGAGTAACGACGAGAGTTCGCTCGCTATCTGTGAAGGTAATGTTCTCCCTTTTCTTGCGCTCTTTGTAGCTGTTTGACTTCACTCCTTGAATGACGTTCCCTTCCAATTGGATCGGAAGTTACAACATTTTGATCGGTAGCAACGATGGGACCTTTGCTCGCTGTCTGTGAAGGTAAGTTTCTCCCTTTCGTGCGCTTCTTCAGTCAAATCCCGTAGATAAGTCTAACCGTGCTACATGATTGGGGTCAAACCCAGATCATTCTCGGGTTTTCGGGTCAACCCGAACCCAAAATTTTCGTGAAGGGTTCGAGTTGGGTTTTCGGGTCGTGCCAATATTGACACCACTATCATGACCCATCAAATCACCAATATGTTGTGTACCACTATGTATCGAGTAATGCAACACATCATGAGTGACCCCTGGATGGTCTGATGACCTCACATAATAATCTCTACCCAAATTAATCTTAAATCTACGAGTATGATTTGATTACAAGATAGAATATAAAATATCAAATTCATTTTTATGTAATCTTTTAAATGAAGAGCACATCATAGAGGCCTACGTGCTCAAAATTTTGCCATAACTTATGTTTTTTTTTTAATGGAACACTATATGTTGTAACTCATTAAAAAACTTGCATACTACAAATTTGTCATTAGACCTTATTTTCTATAGATAATTTATTGTAAATCAATATTTATAAAACTATTGACCTTTTTTATGACCGATGATATCATCGATTATAAAATTTTGTAAGAAGATTATATCGAACAAAATAGAGATTAAGTGAACACTTACAGAATAAATGAGTAGACATAACTTAATGATAATTTGATTTTTTAATGGGTTAGGAAAGATGTCCAACCTATCCTTCCCAAGAGTCATTTTTATATTTTGAAAGTCTCTTCTAACCTAATCAAGTCAAACTCTAATTAAGATGAGCAAATTAGATTTTAATTTGTATATCTACTAATACATGTGTAATATTATTCTTATTTAAGTAAAATTAGTATTGTTGCGAGCAAGAATATTCATGAAGGTAGAGTAAGTAAATTGTTTTGGCGAATTTCAAAGAGGTCGGTAGAGTCCTTAACCATTATTTGATTAGAGATGAATTGTTCGATAAATAATTTGGTCAACTTGGCGAACGTGAGAATAGTTATACCCGGAGGTGAGTATAAACATGTGCGAGCTTGCTCTTTGAGAATTGAGAGTAGTAGAAAATTTTGGTTTGATGAGAGTAGTAGAACCATTATCATATTCATGGAGTCTCAGATGCGCTTATCTTTCAAAGTGGTCGACGGCCGGGTAGAAGTTCGTCCATAGTTAGTAGCTGGAAGGTGATCCGACTATGATCAAATGAAAGTCCAGCAACTGTCGATGGCCAGGTGGAAGTTTGGTAACAGTCGGGCGATGGTTTGACTATGGTCTATTAGAAGATTGACAATGACCAGTGACCAAGCAGTGGTCCGACAATGGTCCAGTAGAAGTCCAATAGCAGACGATGGCCAAGAGTTGGTTTGATGACGATTGATAGAGGTTTGTCGGCGATGATGTTGGAGCTCTTGAAGCCTCATAACTCTCTCCAATCTCCGGCCAAAGATCCCTCTCATATAGAGAGTGTGAATCTATTTATTTAATTTCATGAGTGACACACCACATAAATATAAAAAATATCCATGGCAATGTTGGAGTGGTCCGTAGGATGGCCTATAGTGATTTCTCCAATCATATAATTTTTTTAAATATTTAAGTGACTTAATGATGTCAAAATTAAGCGAATTTGGGCTCGTTGGATCTTTCTAGTAGAGCATCTCGATTCAATAATAAAAAAATTTCTGAAGTTCCCAACTTAGGATATGTCTCAAGATTCGTGCCCAATCAAGATAATTTTTTGTGAAGTATGAAGTACGAATTAAAAATAAAAAACCTTATAAGGATACCAAGACAAATGCCTGATAATCAAATAAATTAGTAATTATCATTTTTTTTCAAAAAATAACTGTTAAATGGTAGAAATAAATATGATTTTTTATTTGATTTAATTATGCAATTATTCAATAAGATAAATCCAATAATGGAATTAGAAATTAATAATCTAATTGTATATGATAAAATGTTTAAAAAGATTTAATGATAAAAGGATTAAGACTCGGTGAATAAGATTATTTCTTTAGGATTATGAGCTTGCATCACATATTAATCCCAAAAAATCACCGTCTAATAATATTACAAATACAAACATTAGTTAATATCTAATTTCTATAAGACAATTTTCACAATTTTTATAGAGGATAGTCAGAGCCTGTATTAGAGGATCGGATATTTACTGGAGTTTGACGGTCTTACAATTCCTACAAGACAATCTTCTCCCATTTTACAAAGAAAAATCGGAGTTTGTGTTGGAGTATCAGGTCTTTATCGGAGATTGACGGCCTTTAGGCTCCTACAGGACGATCTTTATCCCTTTTACATATAAAAATCGAAGCCTGCGTCAAAGGACTGGGCTATTGTCTCCAATGATGGCCTCCAAATTTTCGTGAGTCCATTTTCC